ACACACACACACACACACACACACACACACACACACACACACACACACACACACACACACACACACAATAAGGTATCACTGGAGTTTTCTTGAAATATGCTATTTATTATGCCCTCACAATGAAGCAACATTTCCATCTACTCCATTAAATGATCGAAGTGACTTGACTTTGGTCCCGTAAGGACAAACCAGACTCATGTGCACAGGAACTGCAGCAGGAACTGGTGGGATCATTCCACAAAGATCACTGCACTGCAAAAGATGTATTGTATTTGATAAACGTTATTATTTTACATTATAAAGATCTATTTTTATTAGCATATTAAAGGGATTACACACTCACATTGTTAAAGCTGTTGCAACAATTTCTGTATAGTTAGAGCAAATCTATCGATCAACAATATTTAAATTACTTGATTCATTCACCCTTATTTTTTATCAGAATCCAACAGCTGATGATTAAATCAGGCAATTTTCATCAYATTACCAAAGAAAGACAGCAAAATTGCAATTTCTTATTGAATAAATGCACATGTAAATTTTTTCTTTTTTTCTGACATTTCTAAATATTTCTCTGTCAAATGAACAGATGTCATCTTTGCATACATGTTTGCTTCTTTATTGTCTTAGAAGATGCATCAGTCTCTGCTGATAAGATGCCTCGAGTGTTAAACTTCAGCTGAGACCACGTCAGTCTGTCTGATCATCTCTGGTTTTACTTTGGCCTTCCAGTTTTTCTCCTCCCCTGTGGGCTCAAGTCTAGTGCTTGTCTTGTGACATTATCAGCTGGTTTACAAAGACTATATCCTATCCAGTCCTGCCTTCTCTTCCCTGTACTCTGAYGTTTGACCTCTGGTTGGTTAATGTCCACAGGTCAGGGTTTGATGATGCTGAATATGTAGCAAAGACATCTGATGAACAAATGACTGAAGCTTGAAATTCAGCCACTTGTCCTTTTAGTTGATTTTTAATCCCAAGTCACGTGTTACATCTCATCTGCCAGAGCAAAAAAAGGTAGACTTATTAAAAGTGCAACAAGCATTATCTTTATTATGCTCTTGATTGTGACTCCGAGTGACCTTTTTGCTATAATTTGAAGCAAAATGTTTCMACTACAACTACAGAGCTGAATATCATTACCAAAAACACACATATTTGATAGCACATTTATTGTCACACAAATCCACAGTTTTTGTCGAATAAAGTAGCACAGCTGTTTGCGTCAAACTAAAGACAGTCTGATTAAATAAAAAAGTGACACATTAACTGGAAAAAAGAACGTAACATTTAAAAAAAAAAGACTAAACTTCCATTCAAAGCAGATATGTTACACATTAAGATAAAAAACTGAGCGGACACAGAAWATTTATTCAACGCTCATCATAAGCAACTATTTTAACGACAATAACTTTCTCACACRTATGAAACAATAAAAGGCTGCGAGAATCACACAAAGACACCCTCAAAGTTCACGTGTCGTGTAAATATTCAGCTGAACTATTCCACACACAGTCACATAGGTGCTGCTTTACATCCTGCTGCTTCATGGCTGCAGGAAAGAAGAAAAACACATGTCCTGCAAGACAAAACRGCAAAAAATTGTCCTGAATCAGCAGGCCGGTTTTTATTTTCTTCAACATTTCAAAAACAAATTCACTGAAATACAAAGCGATTTCTATCTTCAGAGGAAGAAATAAAGTCTGTCACAGTCAAAACTCCTGCGAGGTAACAGTCTTGTATCAGGCCTTGGCTTACAGTTTGTTTCTTTTTTTCTGCACACAGTAGCTGCTCACAAGGTACAAGGTGTTCCCTTCTGTACATCAATTTATAGATCGAAAACGTTCTCGGCTGATTTAAATATAATACTGCTGAAACAAAACAAAAAGATGACTCTATATCTTTGTGTTAAAGGCCATTAAAATGAGTATTTCAAGTTCAAGTCAAGATTTATACATAAAGAATACCAGCACAACTCATAAAAAAGTCTGAAAAACATATCTATTTTAAAAACATTAAGCTTTGTGTGCTATACTCTTTTTTTAGTAGTCAGTTAGCCTTTTACAGTGAGTCAGAGTCTCGGCCTTGTAATTCCAAGGCTGCAGATTTGAGCCCAGGTTGCGTATAAGGAGAGTTGCACGTCTTGATAATAGGCATATTTTTCTTTAAATTGAAAATATAATGGCAAAGTAATTAGAGGCTCTTTGAATTTTTATCTGAATGTAAAATGACCTAAAGAAAAAAAAACTTTTCTTGGATACAAGGACCAAATGCGCATTATATGATCAATTGGACAGAAAAGAATCTGACATTAAAATGATTACAAACAGCCTTAAAAAACAGGAACAGAAGTTAAAACTTGGGAACTGTCTTGTACAATTACTAATTGGCAGAAAGTATGTGTAAATCCACGCAGAACAAGAGGAAAGGCTGCAGGTTCTTTCAGAGAGGATGTTGCTCTGGAGTTAAATAAATCAAGAAACCAAAACTGGAGATAAATAGAAACAGTACAAACCAAGTTAAGTTCTGGGACAAACCTTAAAGGGATAGTTTGGTGATTCTGGAGGAAATTAATCAAAGTAAGTGCCTTATGAGAAGTGATGTTAGTCTCAGAGCATGGAGTGTRGAGAAAAAGGCAGAAATCAAAAAACGTCTTATACGTGAAAAATCCTCCACTGACAAAAATTAAATCTCTACACTTTGAATAAACCATTTATTTAGTTTGTTGCTGTTTTCTTAACCAAACGTTGACGTCACAGCCCAAATGTGCCTTTTCTTCAATCCTACTGTTAACTATGTGACAGAACATCACTTCAAATTCACCAGACTATCCCTTTAAGCCAAAGGCATTTAAACACAGTTTGTCAGTTTTTTTTAAACAATCAGGGCCTTCAGCCCAGCACAGCTCATAGATCTATACAAAGAGGTAAAMGTTTCACCACAGTTTATTTCCTATCAACCAGCAGAAACTAGAAATAGGAAAAAGTGTGAATACTATTGCTAAATACATTTTTTTTGTAAGTCTCACATGTATTATCTTTTATGCTAGATAGTGTCTATAGCACTGTTTAAAACATTAGCTAATAGGATGTAAATCTATTCACGCTTTAAAGAAAACACTTTTTAATCAGTAAACTACAGAATAGCTCATAGAGAATCTGCAATCATCTAGGCACTATAAAAATTGGACTAATTTACACAATAAAACACCAATGCAAACAAAGAGAACAATCTTTAGGCAAAAATAAAAACAATCTACTTTTGCCAGAAGCCAAACAGTCTTTAAGCTCTGCCATGAGATTGGAACAAAGATGGAACCTTCAAACTTTAAAACAAACCCTCCCACGCCCATCTACACACACTCGTACACCCCTACATGTCTACACAGCTAATCTGATTAATCATTTCATAATGGCTAACCAGGGCTTTAGAACACATTCAAAGAGATGGGACACTTAATGAGGGGTTCGGTGTCTTGCTCAGAGACACTTTGACACAGTGGTAACACCCGACTCTCTCATTGGAGTCATGCTAACTGAAACACAGTCCATACATTGATAAGTTTCTCTTATGGTTAAGACACTGGATGAATAAAAGCCAGCTTTTTCACTCTTCTCTACTCAGTTAACAGCATATTCACTTTGTCTCATTAAAACAGCAGCAAGACACAAAGTACAAAATGTGTTCTGAGGCATTTTTTGTTTCTAAAACGTCTGCTCTGACGGTTAATTACAGGCCTGCTGATGTGCACTGTGCACCAAATAATGAGAGACAGAGAACATGCACGTGATTTTTACAGACAAACACTGGAGAACTACTGACATGTTCTGCCACCGAAAGGTCCACCAGTTCTGAAGGGAATGCATATCACCCCCATCACCTGGCATGCCAAAGTTTTAAACAAAAATGTCACAGTCTGTTAGTGAYTGGATCAACTTTATGCTCAATATTGGGAAAATCGACTGAATTAGTTRTTTTTTGTCCTTGCAAAAGTTGAGTAGCTGTGGCGGCCATCTTGAATCAGATTGTTATTCAGCTATAGAYGCACATCAAATGATTGCTTTGAGAGTTTCATTAAAATCCATTCACTGGTTCATGAGCTATTTTATAACATGACAAATGAACACACACATAGACAGGTAAATATACAATCCCCTGCCTTCTATTGTAATAAGTGATAAAAATTCAAACATTTATATTTTTAAACCATAAACTGGCTGAATGAATTGTCTCACTGCAGTTTTTCACACTTTTTAAGGATTTTTCAGTCAAACATTTWACTAAAAAAGTCTCTATATAAAACATTAGTGTATGCATAACCTTTTACATTCATTATCTGTGACAAAATCAAGCTTTAGTGTTGCACAAACAGTCTGTCCTAGGAGGAATCAGAATTAAATCACCTTGCAGACGGTGCAACAAATAACTGTGAACCAACACTTTGGTCAAACTAACAGTCTGAAACAGCACAGTACTAACATCATTTTACTACAGTTTAGTTTCACAGGTCTAAAGSTTTAGGTCTTTCCAACATGAAACACAACAAACTATAAATTCATCAATTAATGTCTTGGTTCTCTTAACAAAGAATTGAACCTGTTGAAAATTATTATTATTATTTTGTTATTTTTTTGTTCAATATCTGTGAATCCAACAACAAAAACACACAGATCGATTTAGATCTTATTACACAATCACATTTCACAGGTAGCAGTAGTAGATGTCTACCACTTCAGGAAACAGTCAGCTATTTATTCACTTGTAGTTTTTTTTGCATTAATCTGCATGACACTGAAGGTGTGATGTAAGGCAATAACCTTTTTCTACGCAGAAAGGTGRAACATTTGAAACAAAAATCGGATTTTTACTTCACTCATTTGCTTTATGCTCGTCCTGTTTGTGTTAAAATACAAAACTACCAAAACTTAAAAATAACGATCATCTGTCATGTCGAAGAGTCATTATTTTTTGCTCTTATGTCGATCATAGTCTTGTGATCACTCTTAATTGCCTCCTAATGAGCTCCTGATGCAGAATGAAAAGTCAACATTTACAAGACATTTAATCTGACAAGGCTACAGCCTTTAAAAAACAGAGATAACCGTGCAGCAAGACAAAGACCTAAAAAAGGTGCGTAACTGATCTGCACTTTCAGCTTTTTGTAGAAAAACAAGCATACCACTGTCCAAGCCACTAACTCAATTTCATTTTCTATTATTACTTAGAAACTTCAGCTGGCAGGTTCTCTTGGAGTGTCTTCTGCAGAGAACAAAAGGCTCCTCCACGACCCCAACCATCACAAGATCTGCAAGACTTTTCTTCAGTGATTTTCACCTACTAGTCTTGATCCGTCAGACTGCTCTGAAGCACCAACGGCTCGTATTTTCCTGCTCGTTCCATCGTCGCTCTGCTTACGAGGACTCCAACGTGACGGCGGCCTCGCCGGCCCTGTAGGTGACCCTGCTGGGAGGAGGAACCCCACCACGTCGCTCCTCGCAGTCGTCTGAGACACATGACCGCACGGCGCTCTTCGTTGGGTGCGTCGTGTTTGCACCTCCTTCCTCTTTCCTACCTTTCCCCGAGTGTCCCTTTTGCTGTTCCTCTCCCCCTCGCCTCACGTGACAGCGACACACCTCGATGCCGGAGTCACCCGTCAGTCGTCGGTGGCGGAAGTGATCCTCCTCGTCATCTTCTTCTTCTTCATCCTCCTCCTCCTTGTCCCTGTCGTGTTTATCCCGTGAACAGGGAGACGGCGTTTTGTCCTGAGGCGGGCTCTCGGTTTTTGCTTTCGGACTGGGCGCAACGCTGAGCAGGTYGAGAGGGTGACTCTGACCAGACGGGTGGGAGGATATGAGAACGAGGGGGGACAGCGGGAGGCGAGAAGGGTTTGGAGCRTGGGAGTGTAACGGGAGAGAAAGAGGCGGACGGGGAACGGAGACTCCTTCTGAGGAGCGTCTTTGCACTGAGATGACATCGGGAACGACGGCGGGTATGAGGTCAGGCAGAGCTCGAGACGCGGGAGGCGAGGATCTCGGCGTGACGACGCTGTTGCCCCCCGCCCCGCTGGGCGTGGACAGGCGGCTGCTGTCGTCCGTCTCGTCCGTCACCTGGACGGAGAAGGAGGTGCTGGAAGGGGAGGTGAGGGAGCAGGACTCACAGGAGCAGCTGGTGTAGTTGTCGGAGCTCTGAGAGGAGGTCAGAGCGCTGGGACTGGGACCCGGGCCCAAGTATGGGGGACAGGGTGGCCTGGGGTGGTGGTGATGTGGATAGGAGGAGCTGGGGCCTGCTGTAGGACCCCCCTGCAGGGCAAAGATGGAGCTGTAAGGAGGCGGAGGGGTGCTGGGCTGCGCTGCCACCTCATCGTAAGAGGGCAACTTGAAGGAGGTAAGGAAAGCTGCAACGAAGCAGGAAACATAAAAACTCTGATGTGGAATCTGTTGTTCAAGTTTATCAGGATAAAGATGAGCATCATTTAAGCAAAAACAGAAAACAAAAAAATAAGAACAAAAAAAAATTAAACACTTCACTCTTGGATTTTAAGTCCAAAGACAAATTGTTGCCATTGACATTGTAACTAAAGCATTACAACGGTCACACCTAACAAACCTATTGATTCAGATTTTAAAACAACGTTTTCTGAGCACTAACCTAGAAAATGTTGTATTTTGTATATAAAAAAATTGTCATTTTTTGTTTGTGTATTGATTGATTGATTGATTGATTGATTGATTGATTGATAGATTCATTGATTGAATTTTATTATCTTTTGCCGATTCAGTGTCAATGTGTGCCTCTAAATTCAAGTTATAAACTCTCTCAGAAGGACATTGAAAGTAAATGAACAAACTGAGGTCCAGCATGGAGGAAGGGTAGCTGCAGGCTCCGTTGTAGGCGATCAGATTGATTTCTCTCTGCCTCTGCTGCTGCTGGATCCTCAGCTTGGCTCGTCTGTGACGGTACGCGCAGAAACAGCTGAAGAGGATCAGCAGCGTCCACAACAACCAGAACCCTGAAGAAAACAAGAGGGCTCCATTACACAAAAATACTTCATGTCGTGGATTAAAAACATCTCTTTTTCTTGCATTTCAGGGCTGTTTTGTCTCTATAGTTACCAAAATATTGACATGTTCGCAATACTCTAATCAAATGAACAAAAATAACTGATTTTATTCCATAAATTTGTTTTTAAAAGCCAACGATGCAGCAAAAGTGTAAAAGCGTTATTTGCAGCTCACCGTATTATTGTTTATAAGGATAGGAAATATTTCAAAATAAAAGTCAACTAAATGCTCTGACAACAACCAACAAAAAGCTTAGTAAAGGTCCCTTCTCATATCAGTAAATTTTAATGATAATTACAATTTATAAGGACACATTTACAATATAGCCTTCAGCTGTCTTCTCAAACATCCCTAGTTAAGTTTGCAATGATTTTTACAGTCAAATTCAAATAATAAAATAAAACCAGAGGTTATTTTTGAAGAAAGTGGAAACAATTTGCTTAGCTATTGCCTGATGTAATAATTTTAAAAAAGTCATGAGAGTGGATTAATAATTGTATCCGCTGACTTACACCAGAGTTCATAATAATATGTGCAGCAGCCCGTCGCTCCACAGCAGTGTCCTGTTTCACACAGGTACCCTGCTTTGTTGTTTATGCCAGGACAGAACTTTGGACTGACAGCAGGGTGATGCTTCACCGCCTGCTGGATGAGAGAAAACACTGCAGCATAACCACAGGAAGAGCTTTCCAAATGAACCCGTTCTCATTTTTTTTTCTATCACACATGTCAAAATCAGAAAACAGTCCTAAATTTATTTGGTCATTATGAAGAAAAAAGAACTTAGCCAAACTGAAGTTAAAAAGCAAGTTGATGTGAACCTGAAATGAAACAAAACTATAAAGAAAAATGATATTAAACCAAAAAAATGAGTTCAAGTAAAAACATTTTGTTTYTTTGAGCTTTAACTTTACTCATACATAAACATCGCATCATCAATCCATAGCTGAGAGAGTATTTTTTTTGCTTGTGCTAATTATCGTCCACTCTGTTTGTCTGTTAGCAAAATATCTCATAAACCACATGAAGCTTTTAGGAAACAATCCTTAGATGTTCATCTTCAACTGATTAACATTTGTAGCCAACACAAATAAATATGGACCCCACAGCCAAATAGCAATAATTCAGTCAGTTTTTCTTTTACAGAGCTAAAATTTGTTGAGGTTGTAGGCAGGCTCTTTCACAACACATAGTTTAAATGCTTCTYGTTGCTAAATATTTCTGCTCAAAACTTTACTGTTAACTGCTGGACTGAACCCTGTTTGTCCATTAGCAAAATAGCTCATGAACCACTGGGCAGRTTTTATTGAAACTTTCCAAAAGTAATCATTAGATTTATATTTACGAGTCATTGCCTTTKAAAATCAACCCAATTCAAGATGGCCACCACAGCTAAAGGCTTTCCACACTGCAAAAACATGGCTATTTCTCAGTCTATGTTATAGTTATTGAGCTGAAGTTTGATGTGTTCTGAGCGTGGCATCGCTTGTCTCACCTTCTCAAGTGTGCTCATGTCTATCTCCGTCACAGACAGCTAGAATGAGACGTGAAACAAGAGTGGCATCTAAATTACAGGCTAATACATGAAACAAGTCAAATATGATCCACTCAAACATTAAATATGAAAAACTGGGTTATTTTCAGCGCTCCATGTGAGCTCAGGCACTTACACAAAATCATAAACCACAGCTACAATGCAGCGAGTGGAGGCATCTAAATCTGTTGTGCAGACAGTTTCCACAGATGAGACTCAGAAGTATAACAAGTGTCACTGCATTGCTATAGCAACAACTTAGAAAAAGGCTTTGAGGCTTTTTTTTTTTTTTGCATTTTTAGATCCATGCAGAAAAGCTCTTTATTATGCATTGGTAAATGTTTACTTGTGGTTAAAGGCTGAACTGTTTACCGTGGTGTCTTCAGTTGTAGCCAGCTCCTGCAGGGACATGGTCATCTGATGAAAAAAGACATAAAGACATGAGAGTCAGGCTGGAGCAGCACATGATGTAAAGGATGAGGATACCTTTACTGTCGCACAACAAAAAGGACAGAATGTTCTGCATTTTTTATGACTTCGGATAAGTTTGATCTAATTTGGAAAATAATATAAAAAAAATTTAAAAGTTGTGCCAGAGATGAAACAAGTTAGTCCCATTTACAATAAAGGGCACAAGCAAATACTCTTTTTTTTTTCACAATAAACATGACTGTTGTTTTTATCCACTGCTCCCTTCTGCAGGGGGTGCCACAGACTGTAAACTCAACAAACTTTACGTTTTACCTCAGATGACCTTCTTTTGCAACAGCAGCCGATTACAAGTCTGTTGCACCAACTATCTTTCTACTTTAGCTGCATGTTTTATTTCCTTGATGGTTTTCAATGAAAATGCCAGAATAAGTGCCAAAAAGAAGAAGGTTTTGTGTTGAATTTCTGTTGTTCTTGTTATATATAAATATTAGGGGTGCAACAATCCATGTACCCGTATTGAACCCCACCGAACCGTATCGAACAGTGCTGTATCGAACAATACAGATTTTAAAAATTTACTTTATCAACTTGTCTTCTGAAGATGCTCTGTGTT